TGGAGATGTTTAGCCTGAAGAAAAGGAGGCTCAGAGAGGACCTTACCACTCTCTACAACTCCCTGGCAGGAGGGTGTAGCCAAGTGGAGGTCAGGCTCTGCTCCCAGGCAGCCAGTGACAGGAGAGGACATAGTTTTAAGCTGTGCCAGGGGAAATTTGGGTTGGACATTAGGAAGAATTTCTTCACACAGAGGATGATTAAACGTTGGACTGTTCCGCCCAGAGAGGTAATGGAATCACCATCCCTGGAGGTGTTTAAGCAAAGACTGGACGGGGCACTCAGTGCTATGGTCTGGTTGACATGCTGGTGATCGGTCGTAGGTTGGACTCGATGATCTCAGAGGTCTTTTCCAATCTAAGTGATTCTGTGACTGTGATTCACTTCCCTGCCCGGGAGTTACCCGCAGAAGCTCGGGGCTGGCTCGGGGCACCCGGTGGTCGGTTCCCCTGGCAGCCCGGCCCTGTCCCGCCTCACCCGCACCCCGGTGCCGGCACAAGCGGCCCGGCCGAGCGGTAAGGCAGCGCTCCCGGCTGGCAGCGCCCGGGGCCGGGCGGAGCGGAGCGGGGCGGGCACAGCCGGGCCGGGCCGGGCCGGGCAGAGCTGCGTGCGGGGGGTGGCGGCCCCTGCAGGACACCCGGAGCCTCGGCAGCCGCCGCCGCGCACCCGGCGGTGTCAGTGCCACGGTGTCCGCCGGGGAGCGAAAGGCAGCGCCGGCGCCCGCCCGCCCGATCCCCGCGGCCAGGCCCCCGCATGCAGCCCTCACCCTGGAGCGGCGGCGGCGGCGGATCGAGGAGCTCTCGAGGTCCTCCCGGCAGCGGCTGCTGCAGTCGCGGGACAGGATGTTCTCCAAGTTCACCTCCATCCTGCAGCACGCCGTGGAGGCGGTAAGGCCGCCGGCGGGCCCGGTCACGCCGCGCCGGGGATGCGATCCGGGCCTAGCACCGAGCGTGGGGCGGGGGTTCGGACCGGGCCCGGCGCCCCTTCCCTGCTTCCCCCCGGCGCTGCTCCCGGCGGGGCCCCGCAGGGCGCGCATCCGCTCCCGTCACGGCCCTGCCGCGGGCCGGGGAGGCGGAGGCCGAGCTGCCCTGGCGAGCCCGGGAGGGAGCACGGGAAGGGAACGAATCGCCCCAGCGCGGCCCCCAGAGAGAASCGGGGGTGCCGGGGGCGAAGGGAGCGGCTGCAGCTCGGGCAGCCCCGGCACAGCCTCCGGCTGTCACCGACGGACACTGCCGCTGCCCCGCGCCGGGCCTGAGGGCAGCCCTGGCCCGGCCCTCACCCGGCCGTTGCCCGGCTGTTTCAGCCAGACGAACAATAAAGAAGGGGAATCAGGAAACTCCTCAGGATTTCCATCTCGTCGTGATCGGCAGACAATAGTCGCCGTCTCCGGTGCTTCTGCGGGATGTTGTCAGTTCCAAAGCGACGCTTTCCATCGCTGGTTTATTTTGTGGTTGTGTGGGGTGATCAGGTTGTCCGGGGCTGTGTGTGCACCGAGGTTCCCTCACGGGGACTCGCACCGCAGTGCTGGGCASAGGACGTGCGGCCTGTTTGCGAGCTGCCATTGCTGCAGGCCGCGTTCGGCACTGCCTGCCCACAATTTTTGTTAGCTTTTTTGTTAGCTTTTCAGTGAGGCGGGGTCCTGGTAGTTRTTCCCTGCCTTTCAGCGCCTCTCCCAGTAAACCAGCATACCTGGGAGACTTGAGTGTGAAAGAGGTGCTAAAAACTGGCAGTGAAATAGTGATGCGAAGGTGAAAAGTGTTGAAGAAAAATTGTTCAAATGGTTAAATAAAGAGCTTGCAGGCCAAATCCAAATGATTGAAATAAGAGCCTGCATGACAAATCCTGCCRTATCTGAGGGGCAGCCTTTGTGCATTAATGTATGCTTCRATGCTGCACTTGAACATATGCCCGTCTTTATGTGAGCCTGTAGTTCTGCAGCGTTCAGGTTTGCAAGTTAAGCATGTATTCATTAATTGCAGGTTCCTAACTCGCTCTTTTGGTGGTGTAGTGGCATTTAGAAATAGGTGTTTTAAATAATTAYAAAATATTTTATTTGAAAACATTCTGACCACATGTGAATGCCTTCAATAGACAGTGCTTTCACTGGAGAGGAAACAGAAATTAATGCCTGCCTGACTAAAGAAAGCTTGTTGTGGTGAGCTGTGCCACATTTTGAATAGCAGAAATAAGAGTGGATGACTGAGAGATGCAGGAGTGGAGAAGATACTTACTCTTTCAGGCCTACCAATTCGAGAGGTCTAATCGAAGTTATTCTTAGAGGAGTGTTTACATTATTGATGTGTGCAAAAAATAAAAAGAAAGAACTACATTTATCTGAGATCCGATAAAAAATAGAAAAATGAGTGAGCTGAATGGAAAAGGAGGAAAGTAGAGATACTAGGGACTGGACTATTTTTTGATTAAAGAAAAAACCAAACCAAAATACGGAAACAGATTGATGCCATGATTTTGCAAGTGAGTGCTATCAACCAACATGCTGTTGGTCCTTGCTCAACTCTGGTGTCCCTTTTAGAATTGCCTCATCCTGCTACGACTATCATGGTGGATCTTCTGATAAACACTGCACTATTGCAAGGTTGTGACAAAGACTGAGCACCACACACTAGTAATAAAACATGGAATTGCAAAAGCAAGAAGATGCTAAGAATGTTTCTTACTTTATAAGTTTGACTCACTAATACAAAGACAGAACTGAGAAATGTAAATTTTTAATCAGTTTTGGGGCTGTATTTATTTTAAGTTGTTTCATTCTCCCTGTAGTAAAAACATGTGGTCTGCTTAGCTTTACTGTAGTGGAAATGAAAATTGGTATAAATCTTACTCATATAAATGTTAGTAAGTTCACTTTGATGCTGCCTGCTGTTTTCAGAACCAAGAGAATTCAAAACATCATTTTTGCTTGCTGTTTTTGCTGGGGAGCACAGGCAGCCTTAAATGGATTCTTAACCCTGCATATCAGCAATAGATCCAGTAACTAAGATAGTAATTCTCAAAGGTTTTGGATGCCTAACTCAAAGTAGGTAGAGTTGTAGCTGTACAGTTTTCAGCTGAGCTGGACACTAAAATGCACTTGAAGAGCCTGGGTTTTGAAGAACCTGGGTTTAGCTCTCATGGGTGAGACTACTTTAAATCAAAATGGTTTGGGTAGCCCTTCTGCCCTGTCCTTTCTCCTGCACATCACTTATRTAATGCTCCTGCCCTGCCTGAGGGGCCACAGGCCTGCAGACTTTAGAGAGATGCATTTAAACAGTAAGAGTTCCTATGCTATTAGATAATCGTCGTTATCTTACCCTCAATATGTCATCCCTCTGAACTCTGACGAGGAATTCCAAAGGTTGACAGTCTGATAGRCATGGCAGTATTTGCCTTTTACTTGTCAGTGTATCACTCTGACTGCCCTCGTGACAGGACTGTGCTGAGACAAACATAAGGGATCAGTTGCTTTTTACTAGGACTTTCTCATACCAAGGATTTTTCCCAGAGAGGTTGTGGTGGTGATCAAGACTAGGCCAGATAGGGCTTTAAAAATTCTGGCCTAGTGGAAAACTTCCTGCCCATGGCAGTGGGGTTGGAACTAGGTGGTCTTTTAAGATCCCTTGCAACCCAAACCTGTCTATGACGCTATGATTCTGCTTGAATAACTCAAAACTTTTAATCTTTTCTGCCTAAATTACCCAAGTGTTTGAAACTATACTCTTGATTTTCATTACAATTGAATCTAGTTTTTGCCACATCTTACGTCAATCCTGCCAATATTTTAGATTTTTTCTCTTTCTGGATTTCTCTGCAGCATCCAGATGAGCAAGCACTGCTRTATTACTCTGCCAACAGAGCATCTTTAAATTGAGTTGGATGTGTTGGTGAGAATGGTGGTGAGAGTGCTGTCTTTTTTTCTGTTACTTCAGGGCAGAACAGAAATGCTGTTGCTTCATGGRGTTCATCTTATTAAATCTGTGACAGTTTATATATGGCTTGTCCTGAAGTTGTATTCTCTTTGCTATGCATTTCTGATATACTTTCATCCCAAAGGGCTTTTCATGAGCACTATATTCTCAGCAACAAGAAATGTAGTGTACAATAGCAAAGCAGCAAGTTAGACTTACTTTTATCTTGTGCTCTTCACTCATGTTTCCCTAGACAAAATAGCTTGTCYGTAAAGTGCCCACTCAGTGTTCAARGAACTTTTGTCTGTRTTTGATTTGGGCTTTCACCTTAATACTCAGCTCAAGGGGATGTTTTTGCACTGTGCCCCTTGCAGGAAAAACATAATTTTGGTTGGTTTGAATTTTGTAACTTGCTGTCAGTCTGGAATATTTCTATCACACAATTGAATGAATTTCAAATGAAGATTTTGGTGTCTGCTGCACGTTCCTGAGACCCCCTCTCAAACAGCCTGTTTTTCCACTGTATCTCATACACTGGTACATTACCATGCTTTCAAGTAGCTTCTGTTCATACTTTGAGKCAAAACTCAGCTTTCAAAGAAACAAGTCACTTGGTACAGGCAATCCTCCAAAATAATGAACTGCATAACTGATCAGAACAGAAATTATTCTTCTTGAACCCGCTTTATTTGATGCAATGACCTTACATTTTTTCGTTGTTTTAATGTTGTGCTGGTATTAACATATTAGATGGCACCATGTAATATATGGCTTGCAAGCATGTACAGTCTTAATTTTATATGTGGGAGCAGTAGCCGTTATAATCTGTGTGCAGTCATCAACTGAAGATCAAGTAAACCTTCAAGCAKTAATCCTTTTTCACATTTTCTCGCAGACCATTCACACTGGTACAGTAGTAAGACCGAAGAAAAACATCAAGTGACTGTTTCACTTWGGGCAGTGTGCATGCACTTCCCCTTCCTTTCTCTTTGACCCCATTCCTGCTTTCTTCTTTCACTCTGGTATCTGACCAGACAGTACCTGTTAYTTTTTTATGCAGTGTCCACTTTACTTTGTGAACTTGTCCAGAAGATATTGAGGCATATCATCAGCTTCTGATGTTTCTATCCTTTCCAGTACTGAATTGCACTTCTGAAAAGCATACATGAAAAATATAACAATGATTCTTACATGTACCAAAGAATCGTTGTTAAATACTACATATACATTGGGTTCTTTGCTCTTTATATAATTTTTTTTTCTGCCTGAACACAAATTCTATATGCTTTGGAAAACTACGTGGAATTGTATTTTGGACAGGTTTTGTCATGAGCAGACTGTAGTTCTGGTCAGAGATCTGTCCCTCTCCTGAGAACAGCACTTTCCCTGAAAGGAGTGGGCTTTGATCATTGGTTACATTTTGTCACCAGAATGATAAGGCAGCATGTGTTTTAAGTTCAGCTCRCTCCCAGGAAGCCCAACTGCTGGAGCTGGGCTCCAGATGGAAGAGCTCATCCATGGCTGCTTGAATGCACTGGGTTCGTTGGTTTTCAGTGAAGTTTAGCTGTTTGATAACCCCAAGATCTACACTGGAGGCTTGAAGATGGCACGGGTATTTTTCCCCTAAGGAGAAGAACTTCACTTTGAGATTAGGAATTGCTAAGATTCCTAATTACATCAAGATTAATTACAGCCACAGAATATTCTGATTTGGAAGGGACCCACRGGGATSATAGAGTCCAGCTCTTAAGTGAATGGCTCATACAGGGATTGAACCTGCAGCCTTGGTGTTATTAGTACCATGCTCTAACCAGCTGATGTAATGGGGAGAAATCGTCACTTTTAAGGTAACTCCTTCAAAATAGACAAATAGCAGGAATTAAYGGCCTTCACAAGGAATTCCGGTTTGCTTCAGAATCTCTATACAAGTATATGTAATTACACAATGGAGTGGTTATTCAGGCTGGCAACTGTAACATGTATTTCATCTCASCTGATAGCTAATAATTCRTCCTAAAGTAGAAACTACAACATCATCCTAGAATTACCTGTCCTAGTAGGGTTAAAGCATCTCAACCAAGCATTATTGCTCCCTGATGCTTTCCAGTGTGTGGCTTTGTTTTGGTCTGGGTCTTTACCTTGATTTTGTGTCTGAATAACTAAGCTAAGAGGATTGCTTGGGTTTTGTTTTTTTTTCTTTACTGTTGTTTGTTTGCTTGTTTTCTTGTAGGGTTTTGTGATTTTTTTTAAATTAGTGAAACACTTATCTCAGAACAGTGTTCCTGGGCTTACATCTCCAGTTGGTGGCAATGCTGATGGGATGTTCCCAGTAGGTTGCACTGCTCAGTTGCACACACATACTAATGGTATCTCTGTTTGCTATGTCTGGCTTGCAGTCCTGATCAGAGAAGACTCTGAAATCACTGAGTATCTTAATTTGAAAGGGCAGGACCTGTCCCTGAATTATTTTTTCACCTCTGAGAAGWGTCCCTGGAGGCGTTTATTGGGAGGGAGAATGTCTATATCCACAGTTCWCTCCCATGGTGGATAAATTATTGACAGCGCTGAGAAGTGAAATCCTTTTCCTGGCACTGCTCGGAGGCACTAAATTCATCTTGAGGCAGATGAGACGGAAAGAAGTGGAGAGGAAAATCACATCAGCCAAGGATAAATCTTTAATGTTATCTATCATGTGTTACTTTGGAAATAGAGTGGTCTGAGAGGCCTGTATTCCTCAAAAGTTGTCTCTGCGTTATTCATCAGCCAGTGCTGAGGTTTTGATATTTTTTTTTTTAACAGAAATGATCATTACATTGCTTGAAATACACATGTAGAGCGGCAAATGTGACATATAGAGCATGATACACAGTATCATATGCTCAGTCTTCAGTTTGTTTGGTTATTCYTCTGAATTTCAATAACCTAGTAAATGTCACAGTAAAAGAAAACTGGTTTTGTGCAGTCTGTGGTGTCCAGGTACTTACTCTRTGGTAGCTGCTGTTCTAATGTGCTGCTCTGAGTGCCCAGCTATGGAAGACTCAGTGAGTGCACAGCCTGTCAGGGAGAGGAGAAGCACTGTCAGTTTGATTTCCTAGTTGCCATTTCCAAGGGCGCATTTCCCCCCAGGAGGCAGGCAGAGATAGTTGCCAAGCACCACTACTTTTCCACACTRCTGTGTTTCAAAGTCCTGTGTGCAAAGGGCCATTAACAATTAGCATTTCACTTACCTCAGCATGGCATGCTGGTCATATACTGGGCTTTACAACTTTACCAAGATAAATGTAAGTGTCACTAAATTCACGGCAAAGAAAAGACTGATGTGGAAAATGTACAGGGCTGTTTCCAAAGAAACCAGTACCACCCAGTAAAGACTATATGAGCCTGTACTGTACTAGACTATATATGAGCCCTGTGCTTATGTTTGACCAAGACCTGARGTAACTCAGCATATTTTAGACCCTATGGGGAGACACTAGAGGGGTTCAGARTTATTAGTCTCAAATGTGGTATCTGTAGCTCTTGGGGAAAAAACTTCCTTCAGTCAGTCTTTCTCTGTGAGGTTAACTGAACCTGGCATAGGTTCTTGAGAAGTTGTGGAGTCTCCATCCTTTGATGTATTGGAAAGCCATCTGAATGTGCTCCTGAGCAGCCAGCTCTAGGTGACCATGCTGGAGCAGGGGGCCTAACCTGGATGATCTCCAGAGGCCTCTTTCAACTTCAGCCTCTCTGAGGTTCTGTGAAGGACGGGAGTCCACAACCTGTCAGGATGGTTCAACTCCTTACCCTTCCAAAATAGGCACAAAAATTTATACTTGGGATTCTTTTTGTTTGTCCACTGGGCTTATTTCTGCAATTGTGTCGAGTGATAATCCTCTGTTTCAGGAGAGCCTGCAAAAGAATGGCTTAAGGACTTGATGGTCAAAAAGGAAAGCAAGCCTCAAACCAGGAGGATTAAGCCTCAATAACAACAGATCTTCATGTGTTCTATGGAATGGTTGGGGTTTTCCCTGTAGGATTCCTGATTCTACCAGCTCAGAGCATTCATGGGCACAAACTCAGTGCTTGCCTCAGCTCTCACATTGGAGAGCCAGAGTGGTGAAATGATTGTGGTCCTTTTTTCATGTGCTGCCTGTGGTCCAGTGGGCCAAATGCCATCTGTGTCTCAGTGGGGACGGAGCAGTACTCATGGCAACTGAGTGGGGGGCTGCATTTCCTTCTTGCAGGATGTTATTCTGGGTGCTACTCACACCCAGCCAGCCATCCCAAATTCCTCCAGAAAAGAAGAAATTTCTTTTTCTTGCAGAAATGAAGTATTTCTGAAAGAAACTTATTTGTTTAAAAAAAACAAAAACAAAACCAACCTGCCAAACTGTGGGTGTGGGCCTTAAAAAAACCAACTCAACCTAAAAACTGAGCAAAGATCTTTTAAAAGAAGTTGTGGCTTACAGGAAAAAAGGCAAACAACTAATTGGTATTTTTAAGGGAGCAGACGGAGAGAACAGAGCATACAGAAAAGGAAAGTGTCAAGCAGATGCAAACATGATTCTTTTCCTGCAGGATGAAACTGTGGTCTAAACAATACAAACATACATTTCTAGTGTTGCTTTGCTGTAGGAGCAATTGCTTTTGTTGCTTCAAATAGATTGTCTGGTGATAGAGACATCATAGAGATTGTTACTGATGTTTGCAAAGCAGGCAGTGTGGCATGGGGCTCAGCCATGAATAATGAATGTAGTCCTTGTTAAAGGTAAAAGAGCAGAAAGTAACAATTGTAGCACTATCTTCCAAGTATAAGATAAAATTCAATTTAATGTCTGAGCAAGTATGTTCATTTCATTTCTAACTGGTKTTTGTTTGTTGTGGTTTTTTTCCCCATAGCTCGCACCTTCCCTCCCATTACAAGAAGACTTTGTTTACCACTGGAAAGCAATCACCCATTACTACATAGAAACCTCAGGTAAAAGAATAAAGCTCTCTGGGTTTGTCTCTTTATTGTGGAAACTAGAAGTCACAATTTCAATTTTTTTTTTAAAATAGAGATTATAAAATGAGTCATGTCTTTAATCAAAATACCGAGAATAATAACAACTAGTAATTAAAAATATCGTGTGCTTCCACCCCTTAAAAGTAGGCTCAAAAAATGGTTGAAGTCTGGTTTCCTGAGTACCRTGTAGAGAACTGCACCTTTTTACATCTGACCCAGTTTCTGCTTTCACATACTCTGTTTAATCTAAACAGACAGCTGCAGAAATGCAGTCCCTGCTGTTAAGGTTTTTATTACTTTGCATCAGGATTTTCTTTTTCTTGCAAGATTTTAACACAAGTAATTTTGTGGTCATAGATTTTATCAGACATAGATGAATTCCATGTGCTCAGTATTAGTTATTTTTGCTTTGGTGTCTTGTCTCAATGTAAAGTATTTTGATAGCATAGACAACAAGTTTCGTTAAACCTTATCCAGATGTTATTCTGCTCTTCTAAAAAACTGATTAAATGTTGTTGTAGTTACTTTTTCTTAAATGCTTCCCTGGGTTGGTTTGTTGTTTTTTTGTTTTTTTATTTCTTGGCAACTATTATGCAGCATGTAAATTGTTAATTTTGGACCTAATTATGAAACAATTGCATTTTAAAAGTGAATGTTGCCATGCTTTCCTCAAGCATATTAGTTCTAYGCTTCAGCTGGAAGTACTGTTGAACCTGTGTTGTGTCTGATGATCTTGTTTATATCAATATTTACTGGTACAAACTGCAACATGACCTTTGGTTCTAAATACCCACCTTTTGGAACACTATGTGATGTTTCCAAAGGTGGAAATGACAGGGTGGCAGGGAAAACTGACACCTGCAATGACATGGTGCAGAATAAAAGCTGACTTCTTTCTCCCAGAGTTTCAGAAGCCTTTTGAAAAACAAGTTTTCACTCAGTGGATATRTTTCTGTCCTCTGCAGTAGGAACAGAATTATGTGTAGGAAATTCAAGCAAAACACTTCAGGCTAACTGGAGGTTGTGGCAGAGACCAAAACCACTCTGACATGGCAGTTTCCCTCTGTGATCTTGTTGCCAGTTGCATGCAAGAAGTGACAAGTTATTTTTAGATTATTGCGTAAACAGTATTTACCATTTCCCTAGGATAGTTGTTCAAGTAGATTTCAGCTGAAAAAAATAAAAGAGGAAACTCTTCATGTGTGGATATGTTCTACAGCATGTGAATGCCAGCTCCCACTGCCAGTGGTGTAAATCCACTGCAGTTTCRTGACTTTAATGAAATAAACCCTTTCCTTCATAAAGTTTGACAGAACTCTATTTCAATGCAGAAAACGCAGAGCAGAAATTTAAAAGCTTTTGAAGAATAAACGGCATAGAGTTTGGCTTTTCTTTGTTGTTATTGTCAGATTTAAATAAATTTAATTATGTAGTTCATAAAGSAACTGATCAGCTGCAAATTAAGCTGCTGTTAGATGCCATTCATAGATTCAAGAATACTCTATGAAGGGTYGAAGAGGAAGATATCAAGACATGGAGGATACAAACCAGAAGACTGAGAGTTGTATTTTTCTGTSCCTTAGCTTGCTCTCTGGCAGTAGAAGTTTTCCTTTTTTGACTACGTGATAATTGCATGTTTTGAATTTTGGAATTTTCCCTTGTCCCCATTGCAAGGTCAGTTATCTGCCCAATGCATATTCCAGTGCACATGTTCAGATACAGTTCTGAAAGTTTGAGAAATGTTAAAATCTTGCACTGTATATAAGGTTCTTTAAATGGATGTCTTATTCATAGGTCTTAAATTTGGAACTGAACTTAAAAATGAGGACAATTTTTAAGTCATTCTTAATTGCCTGTTTTTTTATTTAGATGACAAAGCTCCTGTGACTGATACCAACATTCCATCTCACCTGGAACAGATGTTGGATATTCTAGTTCAAGAAGAAAATGAGAGGGAATCAGGCGAAACAGGACCATGTATGGAATATTTGCTACATCACAAGATTTTGGAGACACTYTACACACTAGGAAAAGCTGATGTATGTATTTCTCAGCAGATAATCTCTTGTGTGAGCTCCTAGTTGTAATAGAGCCTGAAATTCTACAGTAGGTGGTAGTGTAGGACACTGAACTCKAGTAAAGAGCTTCTTGCTCATGTTACCAACATATTACAAATAACAGCCTTTTACAAGCGTGATCAGAGAGAGACAGCCCCTGAGATGCTGGCTGAGACAAAACCCTGCGATKTGTTGCTCACCACTCTGGTAATACTGTGACACTAGGAGCAGGAGAAACATTTTGCTTCAGTCCAGAGTTTTTCTGGCTACTACAAGACAGTATTATTCCCCTCTGTCCTTAGTTAAATGCTGGGAGATTCTAGGGTGTAAAGTGCTGTGTTAGATACAAATCTTCGATTAATATTTCTGMGTGTGTTGAATTATTGCTCAGAAAACCTTTCATATCAGAAAACTTTTATTTTAAGTTGATCCCCCAACAGCTTTACTTCTTTAACAGTGTTGTCTGGTTCTTCATGTCTGCTTTGTGGGATACATGAAGTTACCTTTATGGCCTTGGTCCATCCTTGTTGCTGTCTTTCTTGGCAGATTTCTGAGCTAAAATGTRTGGGGTTGGGTGGATCATGGGGTGAATTTGCTTTGCAGCCCTTGTATCAGGGCTGTATTTGAATGAATGTTTTGTATCACAGTGCAGATGCAGTTAGGGAGACATGGTGTATTTTGTTCCAAGGATAAATGGAGCTCTCCAGCGTTTCCTTCTCAGTCAGTCTTTTACACATTGTCATGAGTTTTTAATTGATTTTACATAAATAGGCGGTGCAGGACAGTGGCTCAGTGGCTTTTGAGGCTGAGACGTTCCCTGCTCTGGAAGAGCCAGAGATCTGCAGTACCTGTTACTGTACCTGTCCTACAGTCGTGTAGCTGTCGTACAGTCAGGCTAAAATACCTGCTCCAGCTGGGCTTGAAACCACAGCACTGCTCTATTGAAAATACTTGCTCAGAAATACAGCTCGTTCAGTAATCTATAAATGTTGTCAAGAAATCAAGATGAAGTGGTGACATATGTGAAGTGGGTAATTAGGAATGTGTTTCTAAGAGTTGAGAGAAGTCATTCTGTACTCATACAAATACGTCTGTACAGGCAATTCTTGTACAGCCTGTCTTTACACTTTGCCACTTGTGAGTTGATACATGTGAAGTAAATACACAGTGCAGTGCTTGCAAGATGTTGCAAAGATCTGGTACAAGAGGGATAGTTTCCTTTCACAGCACTCAGTTAGACTTACTGCATTACTGTGGTTGTGCCCTCATGGTACGTATTTTACCATTCTGTTCAAAGGATTGCTTGACAACTCAGCAATGATTAGGGATTAAAAATCTAGAGATAATTACTTAGGAAGGAGCGCCAGGTAAGGCTGTGGCCACCTCAGCTCCATTCAGCTGTACAGTGAACCGTTAGGGAAATTGTGTGGGTTAAAATTAACAGCATTTATTAATATGGTAAAACACGCTAGTTTGGGGTAATTTAGCCAGAAACAAAGGTACATAAAAGCTCACAAGCCATCAGATCTCCTGGAGATGGGAAAATCCTTTCATCTGATGTGGTCCATGAGGGACGGTAGAACAGGGTCTGCGTGTTCCACAGATATTTGTGATTTATATTCTGCTCAGGAAAAGCAACAGCTTTCTCTTGTCCTGGACCATCTGTGCATTTATAAACACTTTAGCTGGCTAAGGTTAATTGCTCATGACTTTAAGAAAACTTCTGTAGGTATTAAGATTTTTATAGTTTATCATTCTGGTATTTGTATGTACTGACTCACTTGAATTGCTGGATTTTGTGGCACAATACCTTAAAAGAYATCTGACCTGTAGCAAATTAATTCTGAGTTAATTTCCCCTTATCACTGTAATGATACGGAGTATTTTCTGGAAAGATTGGTAGAAGTTTGCCCTAGAGCAATTTACTGAAAGTATGAATAATTTGAAAGAGCAAACAGTAATGAGATGCAATATTTTTTACTGATCTCTGTTAATATTGATAAAAGTAATATGTTAACAGATGATGGGGTTTTTTAAAATACTTTTGGTTAAATTTTGCTGTTTAATTAGCCATTCTGAATGACAGATTTACATCTGTGTTTTTCTCCACATGTATTGTATTTTTGTTATTACTCATCTGTTYTTGTTTCAGTGTCCTCCAGGAATGAAACAGCAAGTCCTGGCTTTTTATACAAAACTTCTTGGAAGAATACGGCAACCTCTTCTTCCCCACATAAATGTGCATAGGCCGGTGCAGGTACTGKTCAGATTAAACTAAACTAAATTTTTGTATGACAAGTTTCTTCTATTCTGCTGTAGCTAATGGTATTTAAATTTGTCCATTGTCAAGTGAATTAAAGAAATTGCTTGGGTGCAGTATCAGTTTTAATGTGCTGATGATTAGAGCCTTGCCACTGCAATGCAAATCATAAATAATAAAGAAAATTGGTTTATAGCAGTCTAAATCCAGAGCAAATGCTTAAGTCAATATTCATACATAATTGTGGTGTGTACATAGAAAAATAATTCAGTCTATTATTCCTAGAAAAAGCAATAACTTTCTGTCTTAATTGTTCATTTTATGTGACAGAAATTAATCAGGTTGTGTGGTGAAGTTCTGGCAACACCAACAGAAAATGAAGAAATTCAGTTTCTATGTATAGTATGTGCAAAGCTGAAACAGGATCCATACCTGGTCAACTTCTTCCTTGAGGTGAGTAAATCCATTTAAAATTTTACAAGTGTATTTACTGTGTCACATACAAAATCTAACAKAGAAATGGAKGTGTCACATTGTGCTTCATAGATAKTTTTCATTCYATCTGTGATTTTTTATCCTGTGATATTAGAAGTCTTGTTGTTTGGAGTTCGTTGGGGGTTTTTTTTGCTTCCAGAGACTTGATACATCTGATTTTCACTAGAATTTCATTCAGGGCTGACAAATAACATTTGCCCAAGGTCCTTATCCTTTGCAGTGAAAGTGCCTTTGGAGTAGGGATATGAATTGCAATGTAGAACACTGTGTAAGGGAGACCTTCGACTTCTTGTGTTGTTTTTGTCCTCCCAGTGAAGACTAAGGGACAGATTGCAGGGGACACTGAAACCTTGCAAGCTACTAAGAKTTCTGCAGGATTGGGCCCTTATTTGGTAGTGGCACATATGTTGTAGCTGCAGTGCCAGCTCACAATCTACAGTACARCACCATCTTCCATCTGAAAGAAAGCCAAATATCTTTACTGTCTCTTTTAATATGTGGCATTATCAAATCAGAGTGGGAGGATAAACAGTTTCTAGGCTGACTTTCTGTTCCTATTTAGAAGGAGCATTAAAAAAATTTGGTTTATAAAAGTCCATTTATAAATGCCTTTTGCTTCTACATTGCTGTTTCCTATGGTGACACAGTCTCAATTATTAAGTTCATGATACTTTGCTGAAAAATATTCCTTCAGGAATATTTTAAAGGCTTTCCACAAACAAGATATGTGACAGCAGAGGCTGCTAAACTGCAAAAATACATTATTTTCCATTAAGTATGTGATTATCATTTCCATGTCAGTAGTAAAGAATCCATCTTGCATTTATTTTTACCTTAATTAAGTATTATCCTGGTTGCCACTGTATTCACTGATACTGCTGAAATGCAGATGGATCTCTCCAATGTGTGTTTGTATCTCAGTTTTGTTTTCTTCTTTGACTGTTTCCAGTCAGTTTAATTTTGTTTATAAATTGATAAATACATATATATATATATATATATATATAAATTTACATTTTGATAAAGTCTTTCACCTATATTGCTTAACTAATAAGGCTGTGTGGCTTTACAAGCTTTTTTATCTCTTGGGCAGGTTATGTCTTGTGGAAATAAGAACTTGAAGAATTTCATTCTACTTTTTAAAATCTTTAAAAACCCTATACTAATTTTATTTTGGCATTAATGTATTCCTTTTTTTTAAAACTGAATCTTCCTAGTTCTTGTGCAGAGAGAAAGAATATACATTGTCGTATTTGACTTACCATCTCTAATTCAGGCATATTTTAGGCTAAACTTGCCTTCATTTTAGGCTAAACTTTCATCTCATCCCATCTTAGGTGAGATACTCCTTGCAACTGATTGTTTCATGCAAAGGGYCATTTAATTCTYTGTTTTTCAATTTCTGTTYCTGAGACCTTAAAAAAGTTCTAATRTAGTAGCTAAAAAGTTGTACCTTAATTTTATAAAATGAACAATAATTTCACTATTCACTTCTGCTTTCAGTACTACAAATTWTCAACTTTATATTTCTCACCACAGRTTAAGTAGAGATTCTCATCAGCTGTGATACTGTTTGATTTCTTCATAGAACTCTTTTTAAATCTCTCATGGCATCATCCACCATAGACTTTGAAACTGATGATTACATATCACGAAAATACGAAAGTGTGTTTCTATATTATCTGCTCTCTGTTAATGCTGAATTTGTGAGTTCTTTGTTTAGAAAGCATTGAATGTGTGTTTTATGTAACCTTTTCTATTAGGTCATTCAGGATCCTGTTTTGCACCTTTGCAGGAGGCAGGTGAGCAGCTGAGCTGCAGAATTGCATGATTAGACATTAGGAAGCTTAAATACACACAAAAATTCTGCCTGTGTGTTATTCAGTGTACAAACTGCTTTGTGTCACCTGCCAACRTAAGAATAATGAGCTATAGACATGTTTCTAGGGGCATTCACACATTTATATATGTTAGTTCCCTTATCAGTGCCTTAGCTAAATAAGCGATGGCCTTTCAAAATGCAGAATCCAGACATGAAGTATTAAGCCATTGTAAGATAAGTATTTTACAGAATATTGCCCAGATTTGAAATAAAAAGCTTTTCCCTTTAACAACCCTGCCTGCTGCTTGAGTGGTGCCAGCAACAGTGTAAAATCCAGGATTGGAATGCTGTTCCAGCCTTTATGTGCAAGGGTCACTGTTGTGATTCAGTTATTTCTGTGTACTGATGAAGAAGATGGGAYGATGCTGAAGGACTGTAGAAGCTCTGGGGATAGACAAACTMGGTTCAGACACATTTTWGTTGCTTTGCSAGCCTTGCGCTTTTCACACTGTCAAAAAAAATATATTGAAGCAGTAATTTTTCTACTGCATTCAAAAGATCATACTTATTTTATAGCATGCAGTGTGCTGCTTTTACCACTGGTTTGCTTCTCCAGGGAATTGACTCTGTGAGTGTGTCACAAAGCTCAGTGCAAATTCCCCACAATGGATGCACRGCAATCGAGCAAGTGTTCACAGCAGCTCTCCAGTTTGCTGCCTGTCATGTACTCAGTCCCTTCTGGTTTGTCTGTACTAAAATCCATTAACCCCAAATGGTTAGTCTTTTAAATTATTAATGCTTGAGATATATTTGCAATAATTTTGCTGTTATCATAGAGAAGGGAACYGTTTGGATTTATAATCTCCCTACAGTTCTCACTTGAAAGAAATGTCTTCTGCTGCATTCTAATTTATGATTCCAATAAAGTATTCTTCACCTGCGCTTGTGCCAGAAGAACACTGAATTCTTGCCTTTCTGTGAGTTTCTTGGTGGTATCACAGAGCACAGATTTAAATGTCTTTTTATGTGCTGGAGACAGATTTATGGGAAGACAGATGGGTTGCCTTTTTTCAGGCAAAGTAGAGATGCTTTGGAGCGTCTCAGAAGGTTCTCTGTGACCTCTTACAGTATCCAGTGCCCAATGCTAACTTGTAATAACTTGTAATATCTTCAATCTACTCAATTTTTTCTTCTTGAGAAACACAAAAGATTTGAAAGTACTCTGCTATCATAAAAGGTGCTTCTTTCCCTTTCCTGTTGAAGGTAAAATCTCAAGAAATTGAGAATTATTGTATTTGTGTGATTCCACTGGAAATAGTATTCAGACATTAGATGCATGTGAGACCTTGACATAAAAAGGAATGCTTTATAAATAATATGTGCTAAGTTCTAAAGGTTCAGTCATAAGGTAAATTAAAAACTATCAAATTGTGGGCAAATCAAGTGAATATGTGCCTTCAGTGGTGAAAGAAAAAGCTGCCATCCTTTAGTAAATGGCATATTCAGCCTTGAAGCAAAATRTATAGGGCTTAAGAGAAATTTAAGCAGATTGGAAAGTGTCCTAGGTTTATAAAACACCCACGYTGCCATAGCCCTTTACGATCTACATGGTTACTGTATCCACCCTTGACTACTTCAAAAGGTGATGTAAAAAAAGAAATGTTTTTAGTGAACTCCTTCTTGAGGRTGAACAGTAATTCAAACTGTGTAATTCCAAAAAATGCTTTGCAGAATAAGTTAAAAGCGATGGCCTTCCAAGGATCAGCAAGTGTAATCACAGAAGACATGATRAAAGACCAAGACTCGGTGACAACAGACACGGGGCAGCCTGTCCAGCCTGAGGAAATGCTCGGTGCTGCCGGAGCRGAGCACATGGAGAAGGAGGATGAGCTCCCACAACAGGCTGATGATCTCTCTTTCAGTCTGGATGAGCTCAATGTCACATCAGCACCTGAGTCTTCCACCGCTGGTCCAAATCAAGACTATAATTTAGTGAATTCTCTACTAAACCTCACTAAAAGTCCTGTGAGTTTTTTGGGTTTTGTTTTTTTTTTACTTAATGTGATAAAATGAAATAGTTGGATGATGTGTGAAGTGGGTAGAGGGAGTGAATAAATACACTGTATTTTAGCTATGAAAAGTTAAATAAAAGGTTTTGCAGGCACTTTTCATAAATTGGCAGTTTTCTATGCAAATTCAGATTCAGGTAAAAATTAATTCAGAAAATTATTACTAAGTTTGTTGATGGTAATRTAAGTGGGTTTTTAAAGAAATTTATAGGGTGCTGTATATTTCACAGAAAAGCTACATAGGATAATCAGAAGCTTAAATATATCACAAGAGAATATTTTTAAAGCTACTTTCAATTCTTCTGATTTAATCAAACCCTGGGCTATCTATAGGAGTGTGGTTTCTTTTATAAAAACCTGTCTTACCCAGCTCCATCCTCAAATTCAGACTTAGATTCTTTCAGAAAATGTAGAGGAAGGTTGGATATGCCTGTAATTGCTACAGCAGTGCTGAGAGTAGAAAACCAAGTCTAGCACTGTACCTCGTTATTGTTACATGATTAGTTTATAGGATTTAACAGTTTGGTCTCYACCTGACCTACAGCTCCAGCTCTGTCAGCTGGAGGGTTGCAGCTGGCATTCTTTGACACAAAATKAAGTGAGATTATTTTGTAACATCCAGAGTCACTAGAGTTAAGTTTTAATGACTGAAAAGGCCACAAAAGTAAATGCATTCACTCATTGTGGGGGAATGGAGAGGTTTTATTTGGGAGGTGTTTGCTTCTTGATTTCAAGTGAGCTTCATTCACCCTCTGATTAATTCTTCCATGCCCTTCTGCCAGGACGGCCGGATAGCAGTGAAGGCCTGTGAAGGCCTCATGCTTTTGGTGAGTTTGCCAGAACCAGCAGCTGCCAAGTGCCTGACTCAAAGCACTTGTTTATGTGAATTGTTGACAGACAGGCTGGCCACCCTCTACAAAGCCTTGCCTCAGTCACTGGATCCCTTAGACATTGAAACAGTGGAGGCAATTAACTGGGGGTAAGAATTTTATTTTTGTATTTAATACCCAAAGTGACTTTACACCCCTCCCTGAAACTAATTTGATAGGTACATAATGTGTACAAGATGTTCCCCCCTGTACATGCTAAAGCCTCAARGGCAGAGCAGAGATACAACTGCAGCAGCACAGTGGTGCACTTCAAGGTCACTGTACCTGGGATTTCTGACGTGGGGCCAGGTTTGCCTGGCAGTCCCTGTCAGAGATTCCTAAGGGGGCAAGTTGTTCCACTGAATTACGTCAGCAGTTTATAACAGTGTCACTGCTAGKATCAGGTATGGATTATATTCTCATGCAGATGTCAAAGATTTAGGAAGCATAAACTTCTAACTGTACACAGTGGGCATTGTAAGCTGCTGCAGGGGGCAGGAAGGATCTGTTTGATTACAGGCTGTTGTTGCAAAATTTTTGCAGCAAAAAAGAAGAAGGAAAGAGTTACTGCATAAGTCATCAGCATGAAGCAAAAGATACATGCCTGTTATCCTAACTGCTTGCAAGTTAGATTCCTAAAACATTTCTCTTCCYCTCTCTGCCTTCATTACTATGAATTGCTCCTCATCTCTTAGTACTGAAACAAAAGTAGGTATTTGCAAAATGCGTACCAAAATTCCTGGTGATTGGAGTTTGAAATTAGAAGGGGAAAACCCACAACTTTTGAAGTGTGGAATTAATAAAGATTGGAGCTTTTTACCTTAGAAAGTGGTGTATTTGTTATTCCTTAGAGCTCTTAAATTGAGATAGATGTTTCTTTCTGAAAGATACRATCTAGTTCAGGTACTGTGTGGTTTTGGTAGACTTGCTTGAGGTCGCTTACAGAGTAGAGAAGAACAATTGCCTTCATTTTATGGTTTTGTGACTGCAGGAGTTATTGATTCAGTTTCTGTGGTCTGTGTTTCCTGGGAGAACAGGCTTGGTGATCAGTTTTCCCTTCTGACTCCAGAAATACTTAACCAGAGTWCCTGTGCTGTACATGCTGTGTTTCYTTTAGCATGCWCTGAATACCTGTGTAGTGATGGCACTGCCACATCAGTAGAGACTGTCAGAAAAGCTTTTTTAATGTTCCCTTTATTACAAGAATGTAATTTATTGTCCTGTTAGGTTTAATAAGAATGAAATCTAAGATTTTTCCACTACTTGTAGACGAAATAAATGTTTTTTCGCTTTGTTCTCCAGTTTGGATTCCTATAGTCACAAAGAAGATGCATCTGCTTTTCCAGGAAAAAGAGCATTGATTTCATTTCTTTCTTGGTTTGACTACTGTGATCAACTCATCAAAGAAGCACAAAAGGTTTGAAATGTGTTCAGATGATGCAAATGTATTCAGCAAGTAAGTGGGTTCCAGTTGTTTCTTAACTTCTGAGTTTGAGACACACCATTTTGTACTTTTGTTTCAGACGACTGCTGTTGCTATGGCAAAAGCTGTGCGGGAACGATTCTTCATTGATGTTATGGAACCTCAGCTGATGCAAACGTGAGTAGCATCCTTCCTACAAAACACAGCAGAACAGAATCTGAATCAAGCTGGTTTTGTGGAGGCTGAAATCCACTCCACATCTGATATGAAAATGTTTTGTTCAGTTCAGAGATCGGAATCCTCACATCAACTGCACTATTGCACCGCATTGTTCGTCAGGTGACTTCGGATGTCCTGCTGCAGGAAYTGGTGTATTTTATACTTGGGGAGCAGAGGGAGCCAGAGACACTGACAGACATCAACAGGCATCCATTGCGACACAGGTTGATCGAGCACTGTGATCACATTTCTGATGAGGTGAGAAGGGATCCAGATAATGGAATATCTGCTGGTCAGTTGTGCCATGTGGAGGGTCTGTAAAGACCCCCTTTGTGAGGACTTCTCATATTTGAGTCAAGTRACTTTTTGCCAAGAAAGAGAATTCTGACTCGCAGCCCTACGAATTCTCTTTAGAAAAGGAAGTCAAGCTGTTTTCTCCACYTAGCATATTTCTTTTCTTTTTCTGCTGAAGATTCTTTGCTAAATTTGCTTGCCAGTTAGACTTGCTCATTTGTAAGACAGGGTGAGCTTTTTGTAACTGTATTTTAATTTGTGCTTTGTTATATGTAGTGTTGCTGCTCTCCATGTTTTGTCAATTCTGTCTTGTTATCATATGAGATATGGTTAAAACCTTGGGTTTTATTTGAACTAAGTATGGTTGAAGAATATACCCAATGCTAATGYAGAGATGATATAATAACTTTAGGCACTTCGCACACAGTAAACATTGTTAAAATAATTTACTTCAGTAAAATCCCTCCTCAGAACCTGCTTCATTCATTTTTTCCCATGAAACAGCCTCAACCCTCTACTTTTTTAAATAAAAACCAGGCTTGCCTGAAATACAGATCTGTGCTTTCTCATACTCATTTTTTCAGTATTGCTTACCTGCTCACTCTGTCACAATGAGTTATCTCTGTAAAATTAGTTATCTTTGCAAAGCTGAGCACTCTCAGCAGTCTTGAAAAATTGTCTTTGTATTGCTTGAAGACAGTATTTTTTAAAAGCTTATATAATATCTCCATATAAAAATCTTAGCCTATAGATGTGGTCACAATATCCCATTATTATTTTCCTTTATTCTGGGTGTTTATTACTAACTTTAAGTCCTGTTATGTGTCTCATTTGCACAATGATGCTYCTCTTCCAGCATGGATCTGACTGTAAAACAGAAAGCTTAATTAAGTTCTCTGTGTATTCCTTGTGTTGTTATTTTGATAGATTTCAAAACAGTTCTTGTTTTCCAGAAAAAAATACATTCCCGTATTGATTTTCAAATGTATGTAAACTCTTCATCCATGTTTATAYGACACTTAGCATTACAGTTTCCTAATTTTTGCTTATGATTTTTGTTTTCCTCCGCATTGTCAGTATGGACAAAGAAGATAAAAGGCAAAAAGCATAGGGCAGCAGTGCATCAGTTTGCTGAACTTTTACTCTTTCTGTTACAGATCAGCATMATGACTTTACGAATGTTTGAGCACCTTTTGCAAAAACCCAATGAGCACATTCTTTATAATTTGGTTCTGAGAAATCTGGAAGAAAGAAACTATATGGAATACAAGCCTCTCTGTCAAGAAGATAAAGATGTGGTAGAGAACGGACAGATTGCTGGAGCAGTGTAAGTTTCATTTTTAAGGGAATTTTTCACAACAGCTAACTTGGATTCTTATTTTTAGACTAAAACAAGGTTTTTTTTCCATTAATTGAAAGAAAGTGAGCCTAGAGAGCACTTGACTGCTCTATGTATTAATCCACATCTGTAAAGTGATGGAGAAATTCSTACATCAGCAACTTATGGAAACTCTTAGAACAGGAACAGAAAATCTAAAATTACCACAAGCCTCCTTCTAGAATGATAGACACTCAGAGGTCTTCATGTCTCAGTTTATTTATGCATCTACCTARTTTAAGTCTATGCATATTTTATTGTAATCAGTGAGATTATTCTTGAAGTCAGTCACTTAGGTGTCTTGCTTATATTTATGTTCCTAGTCATTTTTGATGGAAGAACATTTCTGAGCCWCTACATAAAACCCCTATAAATATCCTAGGTAACTTTTAACTCATTGTTTTACTGAAGGAGAGATAGGGACTAATCACACAAACTATTTTAGTCATCTAGTATAATTTGAATGTGTCCTGGAGTAGAACTGTCCCATGTGAAAAATGTGGCTATGAAGTTTTAAGTGGCTTGATGTAGTAATTTTGTACAAGTCAAAAATGTCTAGCCTGTTGTTCAGATTGTTGGGTATTTGCAAAGGTTGGTATTTCTGTGTCTTAATTAGGTAATAGGGTGGGAATATTGTAATGTCCTGGAAAACATCCTAGTTCTTCAGAGAAGAAAAACAGCCTGCCTTGCGACCCAGAGATTTTCCTGCCTTCCCTAACATTCTGTGATTATGTTTTTGTCTAATATAATTTCACAGAGATCTGGAGGAAGATCCATTATTTACTGATCTGTCTCCAGATAACACATTGTCAGCTCAGGAGTGGCTCAGTGCTTCTCCACCTGTCAGTCCAGAACATCCGAAAAACGATGGGAAGACTGAAGTTCATAAAATTGTAAATAGGTGAGTTGAAACAAAAGACTTGAGGAAATGTCTGAATGTGTGGGAGTCTGCACAYACTGTGCAAATTAAATGTGTACTCTGTAATGGATGTTATTCTRTGCCAGCTGGGAAAATGACTCCACAGAAGCAAATTATGTGGCATTTTATCAGAAAGCTACTTCTGAAAGATTAGAGCTTGCATTAATTCAACATAAATGAGAAAAACAGAAGAACTTTGCAGCTAATGGTTGAATACTCAGAATTCATGATGAAAGYGTCGTTGATTGTAAAACTTCCATTTSACAGAAACTTGCTGTACTTAAACTGCTCTTACTGGACTTGACATTCCTGAACTAGTCAAGGGAGTCTTRCCATAAACCTTCAGAGGGAAAAAAAACCCTCAAACTTCCTTAGAACTTCAAAGTTCCTTAAACACATACATAAAAGTAAATAATTGCCATGCTAGAGATAACCTTTTATTCCTTGAATATCAGGGGCACCTGTGTCACCTGTGACATACCTCAGTGCCTGTTAGACTCACTGCAAATTGRATGTCACAAAGAGGACAAGCTCTAAGCAACTTACTGATGGTAATTCTCTTAGGGACTAATATTAGGATGAAGGCTGTTTGCTCTCTTAATRCAAGGTAGCAGAGCAGCACTGGTGTGTCAGTGCTGACCTATCTGCTTGCCCAGAAATAATCAAAGGTGTTAGCCAAAGGAAGCAAACAGCCCGGGGACAKCTGGGACAGAGTGGCATCATCACTTCTTGCCCTCTTTTCCCAGTATCGCTATTTATAGTTTACTGTGGACATGGTTTGGGGCAAAGACATAAAGAACACTCTCCTAAATTCACCTCGTGTGATCTCYATCAGGGAATAGAAATGTTTTCTGATTTGCAGTGTTTTGCAAGTTTGTATTTTTTGAGAAAAGATGAACTACAAATGAAAAGTCAGCTACTACATATTTCTGCATGTAAATCCTATAGGAGCATCCAGCAGTTCTTGGGGTGTGGTGAAGACTGAAATTTGGAATCAGGGYCCAAAGACTGGGTTTTATTTTGCTGTGCAGAAATTTCAGTGGGTTTAATTTCTTTTTTTTTAAAGACAGTTATGAATAGTACTCAGAATTTCCTGATGCACTTTGGATCAGATATTGGTAAAGTAATACGGACATGGCGTATTTGACCACACCTGKCAAAGGCAATTATAGTTGTAACTGGGACATTTATATGCAAATACTCCTATGTGTCTTAGATGTTMATTTTTTTCCTCAACAAAGTGGTAAATAAAACTACCTATGAAGTACCATAAGAAGAATTTTAACTGTGATTCTCCTTCTCTTTTGGCTCATTTATTCCCAAATGTATTTTGTGTTAGCTCTGTAAGATGGAGTCTGACCTTTAGCAAATACTTGACCTATTTATGAATATTCCTTTTAATCTCCATTCTCTTTGCTGATTCTCAGCAAATGCTTCCACTGATGACTTTCCCTCCAGTGCCAGACACAAAAGTTCTGCAGTATATACCTTGTTATTACAAGCAGTAGTAGGAAGAGATAGTTTTAAATAGATTTTGTGTTTCCTGTTCTTCACATAAAGTTATGGTAGAGTCTGTGGATTAATTGGCCAGACAGTTCAGCRTTGTGTGTACACTGTTACAGATGATGAGAAAGTATTGATCTGGTACTCTGTGGAATAGAGTCATTAATGTACTTTTTTTCTCTTCAGTTTTCTCTGTCTTGTACCTGATGAAGCAAAGTCATCATACCATGTGGAGGGTACAGGTTATGATACTTACCTCAGAGATGCCCACAGACAAGTAAGTCAGTGAACTCTTCCTTAGTCCTTGAGAATTTGAAATGCTGGGGAGACTATACAAATGGTTCTGTAAATAGTCTTATTGAATGCATCTTTTGGTAATGGAAGATGGGAAAATTCAATTTTCATTTTTAATGAAAACTTACCTTTGGAGATCTTTTGATGATGAATTCACCTTGTATTGCTCTAGTGGGAATAATGGATGACATWAAATGCATTAATATTCATATAACAAATACAGTGAGAGAAAACCTGAACCGCAGATAGATTCTTAATTTGCTTCTGCATTTATCTGCATTCTCTTGGAGAATTGCCTGCCAAGCTGTTTGAAAGAACTAAAGAGAAATTAAAATGCTGCATAGGAGTTATGCAATCTGGGACTTTGCAAATAAAGGCTCATCACAGGGAATTCACAGCCTAAGGCATTCAGGTTTGAAGTTGGGAGGTTGGGTAGGCAGGGAAAGCTTTATGATTTACTGTTTAGAAATAAATGCAAGTTTTGCTTTTACAAACGTAAAGTTTGCCTGGTCAGAGGATAGTCACTGTTTCTTTGCAGCACTCTTATTAAAACTCTGTGAATCTTCCAGAATAGAAACATTTATGCAGAGGAGCAAAGTARCAGAGCTAATTTTAGCAGGTAATTCAAAAATTCCATAACCTCGGAATTACGTTATCAGCTGCTAAAGATGGGAAGCTTGGATTTCTGTATTTATATTGCTTCATCTGTAGTCTCTCTGAAAAGAAAGGGAATGGAAAATACCGAAAAAGGAAACAAAGGTTGATTTGAAATTCCCCTAAGTTCTATTGTTCCATGCCAGAAACCACTTATCATCTTTGTCTTTCTTTCATGCCTTGGGAAAAAGAGTGTACTGGGAGTTATTAGGGAGCAGAATTGGTTTCTGTCACTTCCTGGCAATGATATGGCTACTGTTAAAATATTTCCCCCCTAAGAGTAGCCCTGCCTGTTGCTGTTATTACATCCAAATGGCTGTTCTGCTTCCTTATTTCTATTCCTGGAAGCCTGCACAAGTAGGTAACCTACAATCAATGCAGAATTTTTGAATCTATTCTGCCTCTTTTGCTTCTGCGTATTCCTGTGTTCCTTATTTTCTCTGCTTTAACCTGTGCTCCTTTCAAGGTGTTATTCCTTGCAAGTGAAACATCAGGCAGCCTACAGCAAATATGGGGCAAGATAGAGAAAGACTGCCAGAGGTGTTAGGAAACAAAGAGAGGGACAAGGAAGCCCTGAAATACTTCAAATGTGTATGTTCTGCATATACACRTGCCTTTCCTGTCCTGKGAWTTAGGGAGCAGTMTGGTTTGGATAGCRAGATCAGTTACACATAATGCAGTGKAAGTGTGCTAATGTACTGACAAGAAGATGTATATGAATTCCTGATTGAGAAGAACCCTGATTGGCATGTGTATTGTTGGTTTTGCTTTGTGTTTTGGCCCCAGCTACATTTTAGGAACTCTGTCCTCCACTCACTGTTGCTCAAACTACCCTAAGAGCAGGAATGTCTACAGGAAAATGAGGTGCCTGCTGATAGCGTTTCTACTGATGGTGTTTACTCTAGAATGACTGATCTTTTTGGGCTTAGATTTATCATTTAGCTACAGATTATGGTTTTAAGGTGTCTGTAGCATCAAAGGAAATTAAACAGTTTCCATGGAGATTTAAGTCTGTTTTCCTCCCTACTTTTTTGTAGTTCCGGGATTATTGTGTCATTTGCTTACGGTGGGAGTGGCCTGGATCTCCCAGATCTTTGGAAAAGTGCAATTTAGAAGCGTCATTTTTTGAAGGACACTTCTTGAAAGTCCTGTTTGAAAGAATGGGCAGGATTCTTGATCAGGTAAGAAAAAGCAAGTTAAGAATTCCATTTCTGATACTTTCATCACTTGTAAAGAGCTGATCTCCATCAGGTCCTGTGGATTCCCATCACTCCGTTGTTTATTACAGTGTCATATTATTKTGTGATGTCCCACGTCCTGGTCCTAGGCAGGACAAGAGCCACGTGCACATATAAATGCACAGGGAAGATGTGCAGGAAGCCAGGAGTAGCCTCTAGGTCAGTTCTGTGAGTGTTCATGGGAAGACTCTGATATGAAGACTCTGACTGTGATATCAGAAAGCTTTGCAGAGGTGGTAGCTCTCACTAACCTCCTTTCTCACAGAAGATAGATAGCTCAGGCACACAAGTGAAGTAACTTGTTTCAAATACCTCATGTACTAGACACTACCTTCTTACTCCTGGTATTATAAATTTTTATGGAAATGACTGTACCCTAAGATTTTTTTTTTAGTTTTCAAATTTTGCTGGGTTTAATCTGTTTAGTTACAAGGAATTTTTTTAGGATTTATCTGATAKGGGGCTATTTTACTGAGTCTGCTGACATATGGCCAGAAATAAAAGCTCTCTGTGAAGAAGCAGCTTTCTTTAATGCTCTCAATTAGTTGAAATCACAACAGCAATCTGTCTGAACAATGCAGCACGTGTTACTCCTTTGTTTCCCTCTCTTCTTGTGAACACCAGATAATGCTCATGCCTTCAAAGCTTCCTAATGAATTGGCTGACTCAAACAGCTCTAAAGACCTTCTCCTACAGTGCAGTTAGGTAGGCAGTGAATGGATTTATGGAAGGAATTTTTGTCTCTTTCTGCAGAGTGGCTCTGCTATAATAACTCAGAATGTAGTGATCTCTTTTACCTGTAACATCTGTGGTCTGGGGTCTAAAAGCTTCATTTGTTAGAAGGTTGGGATGAATCTATTGCTGGAGTGCCAAGTACAGAAATAGCTGCCACTGACTGGAAGAAGTAATAAGTGCTTTCATTTCAAAAGATCTATGAGGCAACTTAGCAATGCAGCAGYGTGTGGTAACAAATTCAAAAATAAGATACCTAAATATTACTTACGTGTACACATGTAGTCAGTGGAAATTTTGTCAGAGCAGCTCCAGTAGTCCCTGGGGCTCCTAGGCTGAAAGGCAAGTGGGTGTCTTTTAGTGCAGAGTGAATCACCACCTCAGCTTCCTCARCTRTATGGACTGAAARCTCAACTCAGGTGCCTGAGCTCAGKTGTCTGTTGCCATTTTTATGATGTCCAGGATATTCCCAGACGATTGTGGTTACAGCACAGATSTCACAGGAATCCACCCTCTGTAGAACCATCAAGGGCCCAGCAGATACTTGGGAGCATCTGAGATGGCAGGATATGTTTGTGTGTGGGCAGGTTTATCAAGTGTCAGATCTCTGTTGAGTCAGCTAATGAGAGCTTACACATGTAGACATGGCTAAATATATCTGTCTTAATCTGAGGCTGAATTCATCCAAATCTTCCAGACCTGAAAAGGGKAAGAATTTGTTCTCTGATTCKTCAGTGGGATGCAAACWGGGAGCATAACAATGAGAATTTGAGGTCATGAAATCCTCCTCTTCTAGGTGTGAGTATGCCAGTGAGGGTGTTACTGCCAATATGTAGTCAGAGATTAAGTGACTCTMTTGTCAACTCTCTTGTCATGTCTCTGTTCTGCCATTGAAGAAATGGAAGGAAATTCTGCTAGTTTGCAAATTTTGGCCTGAATGAAAATGCAATCTTCTTTTCACTGGGATGAGAAAATTAAAGATGGAGATAAAATTTTGGAACATAAAAAAGTCCTGGTGAAAATACTTTMTTTTATGGAAATAAGTTTCTTACTAGAATGGTCAAATCCTTTACATTAGGAAATATTATTTTCCTAGAAAATTGAGTACTGTTTTATTCCTCGTGACTTCTAAGTGTTTTCCAGCATCTGACAGTGTTGCGTCTCCCATTCGGTTGATTTGGGGAAGGGAGGTAGACAAGAAGCTCAGAATTTCCTGCTGCTTTCCCAGCCTAGAACTGGTCCCATCTCCCATAGCATGCTGCCACAAGATGGCCAGGCCTTCTGCAATGGTTCTTTCCCAGAAAAAAAATAARGAAGAGAAATAATGTATTAGCTGTAAACATGGATTTTTCTCTGGCAATTTCCTGAGCTCATATACTTTATAGTTTCCCAGGAGAAGCAAGCAGATGTTTAATCTAGGCTGATTCCAATCTATTTCTTTAGCTGGAGAAATGTTTTACGGGAAGAAGACTTAACCYTGCAATAAACAAGTGTGCAAAAGCTTCAAGTGGTTGTAGCAGCAATGCAGATGATAACATCTAATGCCCAACTGTCATATTCACAGCACTGTGTTGTGAAATGCAGAGGTCGGGCCTGTCTTCTAACTTTTTTTTTATTCATGACCATGTGTGTAAGGTTCTAATAGTTAAATAAACATGGGCTGATGAAAAGAAGCCACCAGGAAAATAACTAAGCACTGTGCTTTCCTCTTTCTGCAGCCCTATGATGTAAATTTACAAGTTACATCAGTGTTGTCCAAACTGTCCCTGTTTCCCCATCCTCATATACACGAATACCTTTTGGATCCCTATGTCAACCTTGCCTCTGGTTGCAAGTCTCTCTTCTCTGTGATTGTCAGGGTGAGTAAATACACAATTAATAATTACATATGGCTGTACAGTAGTAATATATTTAATACCTTTGTAGTTAGTGGTAATAGTTGCTGGGTAATTTGGTAAATGTTTGTCATTAAAAGCAGATACTTACAGTCCTGATTTTGAATCAAGATTGGACCTGGATGGATAATTCTGCTCATTCTCTTTTTTCTGACRAAGTCTGTTTTTGACAATTAGGTCCTAGATTTATCAAAAGTCTCCTTCCTCTCTAGTTCCATCTCTTCCTGCCAGACCTGCATCCTAGAAGTGCTGGCTGGGTGCCTGTCACACTGCAGTGTCCTCAGTCAGAATCCCCACACACCAGCTGTTATTAAGCTGGTCAGGAGCCTGTTACTGCTGCTTGCCCAAAAGGAACAGAGGGCTTGGCTCCTCTTTTCCCAGCAGCCTTCCCTGTTCCAAAATAAAATCTTCACTCTCTCACCTTGTGCTTTCCTTAAGCCCAGGAATTCTCTGGTCGATTGCCTGTGGCAACATTTAATAAGACAAATTAATCACTCATGTAATTAAAATAAGTAATGCCATTTGTGACAAGAGCAAGTAAGGCTTTTGTATTTCTTTACTTTCTGCACCCCCTCACCCTCTCGTTGGGCAGAGCAGCCTCTCTGCAGGTTGCTCTGGGAGCCTGTGAGGAWGCTGAAGGGCTCTGTCCCTGGGCAYTGAAGCTGCCATTGAACCTTGCTGCCAGGCACTCTGCAGAGGTGTTAACTTGCTGTGTTGATGGCATGGGCTTTACAGGTCGTCGGGGACCTCATGGTCAGAATCCAGCGCATCCCAGAYTTCACTCCCAAACTTCTGCTGGTCAGAAAACGCCTGCTGGGCTTGGAGCCGGAAGGGCCCATGTGAGTAAACACATTGCACATTCTCCAAGAYGCGTGGTTGGGTTTGTGTGTGCCTGTCCTGATTCCCTGCAATTTTCTTCTGTCCCAGCATTGACCACATGACGTTACTAGAGGGCGTGATTGTGCTGGAAGAGTTCTGCAAGGAGCTGGCAGCGATTGCCTTTGTGAAGTACCACACCTCAGCCACACCCTGAGCAGCCCCGGGGCTGAGGCACCCCTGGCTCGGGGCTGCGCTCAGCCAGAAGGCAACACCCGCAGAGAAGGTGGTGCCTCCTGGCAAAACAGCAGGGGATGTTTGGAAGACAAGTTCCTTTCACCAGATGTTGAGATTGCAAATGGACTTGGARTATGTGCAAAAGCATTTGGGGAGAAACCAATACACAGCATTTCTAGCACTGTGTGAAGAGCTGCAAAARCTGCGTGAAGAACTACAGACATCAGACCTTGGTTATTCTGATGACAATGTTTAGAGAGTTTGGGCTCTTGTATGTTCTGGGGCTCACATGCACCAATTTGCYCTTTGTGACCATATTACTTTTAAAAAAGCAGATTAATTTTATAACATTCTTATGTCTTAATTATTTTTCTTTACAGCTGGATTTATGAAAGAAAAACACACCTATAGTTGCAATATAGGTTATTAAAAATTAGGACATTCAAAAAATCCACTAATCCATATACAATAYAATATGTTAATGAGGGATCATTTTGGTTTTGGTAGATCTTAAGTACAGCTCCAGGCTTGGTTCCTCAGTGGATTGCTCCAAGAAATACATCAGTCTGAAATCAATACTAAAGAAATTAATCCTGATTCGGCACCAYATCCATAACAAATATATCTGAAGTGTACATGTTTGTATCATGTTTGTCTCTGTCATTCCAAGTGATTTATCTCCAGGTCATCTGTGTAACTAGATTTGCTTTAGGTTTTTACAGGGGAACTCTAGTTGTTTGACTCATGTCACCCTTACATTATAGGTTAATTATAGGTCATCAGTARTTGCTGCTGAAACAGTATTTTTCTTTTAGATTGGTATTAGTCTGAATTGGTTTAAGAATCTTTTGTGCCTTGAAAATCAGAAGCATAAACATTCTGTTATTTTGAGAGATATTTTTATTGCTTGTCTAACTATCACACTGATGCCAATTCAGTTAAAGCATTGATAACTTATACAGGACCAAAACTGGCACCTGCTTTTCTCAGTGCTGGGGTGCAGGAATGCCTTTCAGTGACTCCTTTTCCATGTGAATGCCATCAGCCAGGGCAGGKGTTGGCATTGCAAGCACCACTGCAGGTTCTGCCCTTCAGAGAGTCCTCAATGCCTTCACCCTGTGCATGGCAGGGACTGTGCTGGACCCTTCAGTCACAACCAGTGACATGTCCTGCTCTCCACACTCGTGGGTAGGACCTCTATCCCCTCCTTTGAACAAGGCAAGGTAGAGCTCAGCTCCTTCAGTTTACATTGTGTTTCTTTGTTTGTCTTTCCTGYCCCCCTTTTTGCACAGCTAATGCCCATTCAGATGTCATTGCTCATATGCAAACATGGACTCATGAATTCAGTCAGTCACTGGAATTTTTCTGGATTTACATGACTGTACCTAGAATCAGATTCTGCTCTCTGTCCATGCCTTTGAGGTCTTGTTTGTTAATATTTATGGAAGCTGGATGTTAAGAGGCCTTTTAAGTTAGCAGGTTAATYAGAGCAGTGTCACATTTAATGGGCTAAATTTATTCTTGTCACCAGTGAAGAGYATCCTGCTGTAAAAGCTTCCAGTGCAGGTTCAGCTGGAGAAAGCAGCTCTGCAACTGGGGAAACATTCTAGCAGTTAAAACCTATATTCTGTGGTTCCTTGCACTGGGGCACTTTTGTTAAAAGTGTTGCRTTTCTCTGGCAAACAAAAGTGTATTTTACTTCTCCACCTGTTTTTTTTTTTTTTCCTGAATTTAGCTCCAAAGTGTTTTCAGGTCCAAGTAGCATAGTAGGATAAGTCTGAGAAATTTAACTTACTTCATTTTTCTTTTTTAGAAAAATAGCTTGGATGTAGCAAATCATTTTAGTGATCTGTACTGCAGTCCACATTAGAAGCTTCTTTAATACCTGACATATTGTTTAGAACATATTGATGTCTATTCAGAGTGGTGTTTAATACATACATTTGTTATTTATAAGGTCCCAATTCAGCAAAACAGTTAAACACAAGCTTAGTTTCAAGAACTTTTCCCTTTAATCAAAATCTTTTACATGAACAAAGATAAGCTGTTAAGCAGAAATGCTGATGCTTTACTGAATTTGGGTCTTTGTTGGTTTTGCTTGAGCTTAATTACCTTTTCCTCAAATTATCTATTTTCATTATTTTTTTTAAAGTGTATGCTTCAAAATACTTCTTATGTCCCCAATTACAGTGGAAACTAGAAGTGATAATACTGCTATAAATGGAAGTGAGAGAAATGTTAAACRAAACTTGCAGGAGCATTCCAGGTAATGTAAGAATTGATAAAGCCATTCAAGAGYTGCATGATCTCAAAGGAAAGCATTAACATCACCTCCTTTGTTGTCATTGCTGTTTTCACTGATATTTGAACTCATTACACTGAAAGGCTGCAGTTTTAATGCAAAATACTGCAGAGCTGCAAACCCAGCTTCTTAAGCTYGCCCATGAGAAAAATGAATAGATATAATTATGATCTCTCTTAAATTCAGACTATGATTGTTCAGTCTCCAGTGACATTGGTGACGTTCTTACAAACCAAATGTTATTTAGTTGATAAATTTATAAGACRTGGATTCATCCTGATATAAGTGAAGCAATCCTTAAAGTTGCTTTAGCCTAAACTGTTTTTGTGAGTGCTGCCTACAAACCCTTAATTACCATACCTGATGACAATGACCTTATTTTTGTAAAAGTGATTTAATCTTTCTTAAGAGATGGAACTCATTTAATTATTTTTCGTGGTGATATTTTTCATGCACTTTTTTTTTTAAATTATTAGAAGTTAGTTCAGGTCCATGTTTTCACCTTTTTGATCTATGCATGTCATTGAGGAGCCCGTTTTGTTTTCGTGTGCGTGTGTTTGTATGTGGTTATTTATTMCCCAGAGAGGGACACCTGAGAAAATACATGGCCTGAAGAGTTCATGGTTTGTGCAGATCCTCCAGATGTCAGTGGGAAAGGAGAGTGCTCATCACCTTAGAGAATGGGGGCTGTGGGATTAGATTGAAATGCTTGAGATGGGATACTAGATTAATTTTTTATTTCCAAAAGGAGATCCAAACCACATTTTAATCCTGATGCACATGTGTGTAAATAGAAGCATTTTTTTACATTTTTTTCCATTTATAGTATGTATTTGATTTAGACTCTGATTTAGAAAATTTTGTAATAAGCCATGTGCTAGCTCTGGTAGAACAAGTTTGTCTTCAGTTTCTCATATGACTGTAATATTCCTGGTATTCACATCCTGTCTGTGTAATGTTCCTACTATATATTTGTCTGTGCAATATAAAAGCTGTGACTTGATGCACAGCTTGAGTCTGGTTGTACATCACCTATGTATATATATACATATATATATAAAAGGACCAGAATCCCGAGCTTGCTTACACTATGATTAGTGTAAAGATTGCCACACTTCATTTTACAGGGCACAAGTAATCATGGAATGGCTTTGTAAATGCATGGTAATTTCTACCATAACCTGCTGTGCAATCTCCCAGATGGCATTTCATTAGTGCTCTTTGTCTTGCTAGAAGAAATACTAACCTGAAGTACTTCGTAAGATTGAAGGGTCCTGGAGTAGACTGGGGCTACATGGAAAATCCATATCTGATATTGCATATCATACAGGGTTTTCAAACCATGTCCTCAATGCTTTCTGTGCCCTGTAAAATAGTGTAATTATATAAAATATATACTCCTTGTTTTGCCTCCTGCCTTGTTTACATTAAACAGAGGATATTCAGTAAAAATTTTCTATTAAACTTTGTGTAGGTCACTTACTAACAGTGTTGCCAAGGTTTCACAGATGTGGGAATTTCCAATGAGAAATTGTTGAAACAGCCACATTACCAGACATACAATATTAAGTTTTATGAAGGAGGTTGTGATAAAATTCAACTTTTTGTGCTAAAAAATGCATGGAGGATTAAAAGGGATATTCTCAAAATAAATGAATTTCAGTGAAGCAACTGCTGTTATTACAGAATCCRTAATAATTTTTGAATGGGTGACCTTGAGACAGAATATGTTTTAACATTTTACATCATGCCTTTGATCCTGAAGTCCTCATTTATTTTGAGTCTGTCACTGCAGCATCTTCTGGGATAAATGTGTTTCCTGTACTGTGCTGTGYGGGGCTCAGAGTGAATCACCATGCTTTGCCCATGAGGATTTGAAGCCTGGGGACATGGCCAGGATGGGACCATCCTGGGCACAGATTAATATCTGCTTCTTCCTGAGAGCCCTGGTAYCTTTCCAGAAAGGCTGCAGCTGGTCAAAACCTCGGTTTTCCATTGCATTTGAATGCAGAGTGTGTCAGTCACAACATGAGTGTTTYGAATTGGAGACAAATGTCATGGGGGTCAGTGAGCATCATTTCTTCCTTCAGGGCCTTGGAGGAAGGCTTTTATACATAGGGTTTTTATATGTTTTTCTATACATTTAAATTGTGTTTATTGTGTGTGTTTTCTAGCTTTGGTTTCCTTCTAGTTTTCATCAGCCTTTTAAAAATCTTGGGGACGATCTTGTAGGATCCCCTTAGAGCGCTTCACTTGGATTTAAGATGTTCCTCCTCAGTACTAGACATCTGCAAATGCACTTACATCTTTAACAAGAACATTGCTAGAGCAAGATGATGCACTTGACAGTTTTCATTATAGCTGTCTGCATCCTTCTCCCATCCTCTTGGGTCTCAGAGATTGTCATCTCCCACCCCAGATTTTTTATCTGCTGTGCCTGCAGGAGGCATTTAGGGAGACTTTGCTTTATCAAGCAGTGAAGAAGTTTTAACAAAATGGAATGTTTTGCATCTTCTTATTTTTCTTTCTTGCATCTTTCTCATTTTTCTCTGATATTCTTGAAATGACTGGCTTATTGAAACGTAATTTTACAGCACTTGCATTCTGATACAAGATTTTGGGGCTCTGCATCCTGTTGGGGGAAAAATGCTCTCAGTGTGTGGTCTCTACTTCATATGCATTAACTCATTTTACAGATTCTCAGGCAAAGTTCTCAGTGTAGATACAAGTAGCASAGGATCTACTGACTTTGTTAACCTTTAAATATCAACAGAACCTTTGGTGCTGTCAAAGCTTCAAGGATTTTGCTAGTTTGGTRTGTGATCCAGTTGGATTAAAGTGGATTAATGCTCAGTGATGTGAATCTGTCCCAGGTTGTATGAGCCCTTTCAGCCTAAACCATATGTTCCTGGTGCATCCTTTATCAGCCGAGGTTCCCTTTGAACAGTGAGAGAAAGAACTGAGGAGCAATTCAGGAATCAAGTGAAGCACWTGGTGGATTAAAATTTTCAGGTGTCATAAGCTTGAAAATGCCAAAAACCAGAGTGTGAAACTTCTGATTTTACATATTTGAACTGGTTGCTGGCATTGCCTTTGGAGTCAGATCTTTGAGGATGAAAAGAACATGGTGTCTCACTGGGCTACTTGATTGCCCTTGCTAGGATGGCACATACATTCTGAATTATGTTTCATTGAACTCCTGCTGGTTATTAAAATTACTGTTGCTGCTGGTATAAAATCTATTAGAACWGTGCTGTAGAACTCACAACTTCGCCAATGTCTTGTAACTTTGACAAAAATAGTAGACACATCTCACTGGCTTTGCCTTTCTGCTCTACAGTGTCATAACTCACCCTTCCTCTGGTGAAACATATTACATGCTGAAAAATARGGAAACACATGAGAGGGAGAACCCTGTTTCTGTGCTAGTCTGTAGGAACATATTCCTTTAATAACTTTGATTTTCAAAAATGTGAAACTCATTTTCTRAAGTAAATGGTTCTTTTCTGACATGAGGGAGGGTATCCTCCACAGGCAGCCCTAGACAGCACAAACCTGCTTCAGTAGCTTGCACTGAGCATGGCAGAGGCAGGACAGTTGTGTTACGTGTTTGAAGGTGTGTAGTATCCTAATTGCAGTTTGGGATGAAGCAGATGAAAATGTGAGCTTTTGTGCTGTGTAATATTACAAGATACAGGAAGTTCTGCAGAAAGATCTGATTTTAGAGAGGAGGGCAACATAACTAAGATAAATAAGATMGATAACTAAATTTAGCATTAGTTAAATTATGGCTTAGGGTTACACAAACATTAGTTCCCAATAAAAAGATTTGGCAGACTTAAGCAGCATGACTGAAAGAATTATGAAAACTTAATTTATGAGAATGCAATTAAGAAYGAAGGAAATGCTTTCCTTGTTGAGGAAAACTGAAACTCATTGTCAGTGAAAACTTCCTGACMTGGAATGTTAGACCAGAAGTGGGAGGAGCCTGTAGCCTCACAGTGTAAAGGCAGGACAAAACATGGAATGTTTCCTGAGGGAA